TTCCTTCCTTCCTTCCTTCCTTCCTTCCGCCCTCGCTCCCTCCCTCCCTCCCCCTGAGCAAGGAGCTGCAGGTTGCTCCTCTCTGAACCATACTTCCTAAATTTCTCACCAGGGAACTTGGCTAGCACTGAGATACTTGGAGGCCTCCAGAAGAAAAATGGGCCTTGATTAGAAAGAGCAGAAGCTATATGAATGCTAAAGGATCATGCGGGGGGTCCTAATCCAGAGGGCAAAAGGGGGGCATTCAGCAACATGTGGGGATTTTGATGATCAAAAGTCTGGCTGGGAAAGGAATCGGCACAGGTTCTCCAGCTGTTACCCTAATAGATATAAGCAGGCCAGAAGAATCTCTTTTTCTCCCCTTTTCAGTTTTCTATAATTTAGAAGAATAACTTGGACCTCTTCCTGGAGGCAAACCAAACAAGATTTATGACACAAGAAATTTCTTATGATTTGAGCCTATTAATCTTGTTTTGCTGAGTAGTACTGAAAATGTATTGCTAAGCAACCACCATTTTAAGTAACTAAAATGACATAAATTTTTAAGAAACGATATCAAGATGTTAAGCTTAGCATTTATAGGTATAACTTAAGTTTACTTTTTAAGGATGGAGAATAATTCTCCATGAAGCCAAGTCAAGGACTTGCGTTTGCCTTCCTACTTACAGCCGAGTTTAGAACCACGAAGGGAGGCCGTTAGAGAGAAGAAAGGGGCAATAATCAGATTGAGAATGCCAGAAGGGAGAAAAGCAATTTTCAATTTAGTCCTCAATCCTCATTCATTTGAAAATAAACATTCTGGTTTGCTCTGAGAATGAGAATAACGCCATTAAAGTTAATCTGCGAGAAACCCCTATTGGTATCATCGCTCTAAGTGGTGAACCTAGAAACACCACTGGAGATAAAAGGTGGATTGTCAGCATCCTTTAGGACAGACATGTCAAACTCGCGATGTGACGTGACGTCATGCAACGTATCGGAACAGTTTTGCCATTGCTGGCAATGGGGCGGGCGCGGCTTCCACATGACGCATCCGGCCCATGGGCCAGCAGTAAAACACCCCTGCTTTAGGACAAGGATCTCCAAACTTGACAACTTGAGGACTTGTGGACTTCAACTCTCAGAATTCCCCGCCCATTTGAAGTCCACAAATCCTAAAGTTGCCAAGTTTGGAGATACCTGTGGCTTTTTAAGTTACCCACTGGAGTTTGATGTAGTGGGGAAGGGATTGGTCTAGGTCAGGGGTAGGCAACCTTGGCTCTTTTATGACTCGTGGACCTCAACTCCCAGAACTCCTGAGCCAGCATAGCTGGCTCAGGAATTCTGGGAGTTGAAGTCCACGAGTCATAAAAGAGCCAAGGTTGCCTACCCATGGTCTAGGTAGAGACCCAGTTTCTAGTTCCCCTTGAGCCATGGAAGCAGCCTAGGTGACACTGGGCCTGCCACTCTTTCTCAGTGTGATAGAATGTAGTGGATCGGATTCCCAGGAGGGAGGGGCTGCATTCCAGAGGAGCAAGGGACAACTCAGTCCAGATAGTTTGTGTGAGAAAAAGAGGGTGAGGAGAGCCCCTCCCTAATAGTTCTCAGAGTATATGTTTAATGTAGGCAGAAGGCCGCTTCAGTTTGACAAGATTGATCTCCAGCCCCCAAATCAAGAAAAACACACAATGATTCAAGCAGATGTCTTTGTTGTTCCACACCTATAGACAGAATCTTGCCAATCAGTCTGTTACCTGGAACTACTATATACTCAGAACTATCAGAACCCGTTTTATTACTGTCCCATCTTACAACCGTAATGGGCAGGCTCCATAACAGTTGTAACCTGAGGACTACTTGTATAAACATAATCATCACTCTCCTTGTTCGGTCCAAAGTCTAGCATTTGGTTTCCAGACAACATTGATGGAGGGGTGAAGGCAGCAAGCTATTTGTCCCCCCAATAGCTGATCTTCCGGTTGCCTCAAAGGCATCCTCATAGCTCAGTGTTTCTCAACCTTGACAATTTTAAGGCATGTGGACTTCAACTCCCAAAATTCCACAGCCAGCAATGCTGGCTGTGGAATTCTGGGAGTTGAAGTCCACATGCCTTAAAATTGTCAAGGTTGAGAAACACTGTCATAGCTGTTGGCAGATCCTCTCAATGGTTTTGTTTTTATCTTCTCTCCAAACCTTGTACTTAATTGTAATTCCCCGAGATGGCTAGGTTTAAGGAAGATTTGAGGTGGATTTACCTCACAATCCCCTGTGGCGATAGATGTGATTCAGCTAAAAGTATTAAACTGCACCCCAAAACCCATCTTATTTCCCCAAGTCCTAGTCAAAGAAAGAACTTGGCTTTTCAACACATAAGTTTTTATTTTTTTTTAAAGGTTGAAAAGTGGTGGTTTTCTGGAGTCTATTGCACAAGCCTCCCAGCTCCATCTCCTGTCTCCCCATAATTCCTCTCTTCAGATAATCATAGCAGTGATAATTGTCTTTCCCAAAAAGAAGCCTTAACCGCAATCTGCCTCCTATGCTAATCAAGAGATGTTAGGATCAGATCTTCCTATTTTTGAAATGGCAGTCATTGAACTTCTCTCAAGCTGACAATTATGGAGGCTGTTTTCAGTCCTAAAAATATAGGCTGCTCTGCAGAGGCTGAGATGATCTTAACAGACTGTAATCAAGACAGATGTGTTGGCTGATTGGAGGAGATGAGTAAGGAAGCAAAGTCTGGAAAGGTTCCTATGATTGCCATGTTTTTTCTTAACTCTCTGTAAAATTCCTGCAATCCGTGCCATTTGGCAAAACCAGAATGTTCATTGTATTTCTTGGGACCTTGGATCTAAAGCTCTAGATCAGGGGTCTTCAAACTCGGCCTTTTTATGACTTGTGGACTTCAACTCCCAGAGTTCCTCAGCCAGGCATGCTGGCTAAGGAATTCTGGGAGTTGAGGTCCACAAGTCATTAAAGGGCCAAGTTTGAAGACCCCTGCTCTAGATGTTTGCTTTTGACCACAAATAGGCTAAGCTAACTTCCCCAATGTTTACATCTTTTAAAAGCACAGTCATGCATGTCAAAATGCACACTGTATTCAGAGCTGCTCTTCACCTGACTTACCAGACTTCATATCTCATGGGTATTTATTTATATATTTAAATACATCCTATTTCTATTGCCAACAAATGCAGAGAAACAATGGCAGTGTTAAAAACAGAAAGTATGGTATATGTGACTTTATATCTGCTAAGTACTGCAGATCCATGTGTGAGCTGCCTATGCTATCTGTCTGGTTTCTATGTAGTCATACCAAATGCTTTTTCTGCACATGTGACATCATCTCAAACAAAAATTATACAACATTGTGCTCAACTACGTTGCTGGAAATAAGGAGAAGTTTGTAAATAGCATTTGGAGAGATTTGGGCTTCGAACATCTTAGATTCAAGGAGTCCTCCAGCACAGAAATCCATGATCAGATTTTGGGACAGTTTAGCTCAGTGTTTTTCAGGAACATGGAGAGGAAAGCTGGGGTTAATAGTAACAAACAATGAATGAATAAATCACTTCAAGATAATGTGGACTTCAATTCCCAGAATTCCATTCATGCCTGCTAGGGAATTCTGGGAGTTGAAGCCCATTCATGCTGGCTGGGGAATTCTGGGAAGCTGAATGACGTCCACACATCTTAATATTTCCATGGTTGGGAACTGCTAGAATAAATACAAAATGTTGTACAGTCTGAGCCCTGCAAAGAATAGATCTCCTAGTGCTGGATAAAGCTCGTAAAAGCAGCCCGGGGTTCTTACTCCTTGTAAGCTTAGCTTTTTCTGTCTTTTTCTGTTTCCCCCAGTGGCATGAGCTGGAGCTGGGGATGGGCATCAGCGGGAAGCAGCATTTTAGCTGAATTCGGGAGCCTCCACTTAGAGTTTATGCACCTTTCAGAACTGTCTGGAAATTCCATATATGCTGAAAAAGTAAGTGTCCCCTCCCTTCCTCTTTTCTCTTTCTCTCTCTTTCTCTACCAATTGGTGTGAAGTGGTTCCTCCCCTTCTTTCCACCATCTCTCCCCTCACAAACATGCTCACCTAAGCACCTAAAGCAGCCTAATGAAATTCACTTTGTGTCTGTAACAAGGGTCCAGATTTGAGAAATAGGAATCTCGTACCTCCACGTTAATCCCAGCCATAATCATTTGGGCAGTGCTGAATCAAGTGTTGTCACTTCTGCTTGTGGCTGTGGCAGAGAACCTGTAAGATGTTAGGGAGCAATTACAACTCCTTCACGCCAAGCATTTTGGCTAACTCCATCCAGTTGTACTGAGGCACCATCTGTCTGCCAGCAAAATTGCAGCTATCCAATATAAGAAAGACACTGCAGATCGGTGAAGTCTTTAGCGCAATGTTTCTCAAGCTTAGCAGCTAGCAAGGATGGATTTCAAAGCCCACAACTCCCCAGTCCTGCTGGATAGGGAATTCTGGGAGTTGAAATCCAGCCATCTTAAAAGTTGCCAAGATTGGGAAGCATTGCTTTAGAATATCTCCCATTCCCTCTGATAGCGTCTTCTGTTTCTTCTCTAATTGCACAGTTAATGGGACTTTCCCCAAAATGGGTAGAGGCCCGAATCCTGCTCCTGCTGTGAACATCTTAGAGATTCAGAAGAAACCCTTAAAGAGTGTGGGATGATTATTGCTGAGAGTTGATAGTAGCTATGGCTGCACTTTGCATCTGGTGATTACTTCATGTCCTTCCTCAGTAGATTTTTGGAATTCTTTTGGGATCACATTTTGCCAGCAATCATATAGGCTTGATTTCCCCCCCCTTATATTCCTATAATTTTGCCAGCAATCATATAGGCTTGATCTTTTTCCCCCTTATATTCCTATAATTGTCTAGCTACTGTAAGGTAGCTACCACCCACTAAGAGTATCCCAGAGTCTGAAGGAAACTGAGAGAAACTATTGTGGGGACCAGTTTTGGTCCCCACAATATAAAAAAGATGTTAAGACTCTGGAAAGAGTGCAGAGAAGAGCAACAAAGATGATTAGAGGGCTGGAGGCTAAAACATATGAGGAATGGTTGCAGGAATTGGGCATGTCTAGTCTAGTGAAAAGAAAGTTTAGAGGAGACATGATAGCTGTGTTCAAACATTCGAGGGACTGCCACAAAGAAGAAGGGGTCAAACTATTTTTCCAAAGTACCTGAAGGCAAGACAAGAAACAATGGACGGAAAGTAATCAAGGAGAGAAGCAACCTAGAACTAAGGAGAAACTTCCTCACAGTGGGAACAATTAACAGCTTGCCCTCAGAAGTTGTGGGTGTTTCAGCACTGGAGGCTTTTAAGAAGAGACTGGACAGCAATTTGTCTAAATGGTATAGGCACGGTCTCCTACTCAAGCAGGGGGTTGGACTAGAAGACCTCCAAGGTCCCTTCCAACTTCGTTACTCTATTCTTTTCTAAGCCTTCCTGTTAGGATTAGAATTGGCATCCTGTACAACAAAGAGGTTGTCCCTGAGATCCCAAGACTCCAGCAGTTCTGCACTTCTGAACTATTCTTAGATGTGACTGGAGAACAGCTCACACCCAACTTTAAAAAGGCATCCATCTGCCTGTTTGCTAAGTGGGGAAAGGGGTGGCTAGGATGCAAAAGGAAATTGGGGAGGGGGGGCGGGGGAGGATAAGCAGAGAGAGAGAGAGAGAGAGAGGAAAAAATATGGGGGAAGCAGGAAACCAAATAGAGAAATAAGATACAAATGAAGGACAGAATGAGAGAAAGGGTGTGCTGGAGAACAAAGGAAATATATGGGAGCTTAGATAGAGAAGATGAGAGGGGGAAAGGATAACAGCTGGAAAGGCAAAGTTGAAGTTGAAAAACAAGAAAGAGAAGCACCACAGGGATGGAGATTATGAATATGCAACCTTAATGGAAAGCCTTTTGTTGAAGTTAGGATTAATGCAAAATGCCTCATCCTAACGTATCCCTTAATGTAGGAGAGAGGATGATTCTTGCTCAGTGATTTTCCAAGAGGTCAGTTGAGCAGCCCACTCGCCTAAGTCCTGTCCTTCCATCAATGCGAAAACCGAAAACCGGCTTGTTAATGGATTCGCCCACCCAGAGCATGCCGTCAATTAAAGCTAAAGCTGTATGAGAGCACACACAAGGGGTGCCGGTTGCAAACAGCCATCTGGAGGGAAATGGACTTGGTCAAAAGCTTATCAGTTCATTAGCTCCCAGCTAGAGATTTATGGGCTTTTTTCTTAAAAAAAATAAAATAAAATAAATAGGGCATTGCTAATCTACATGTGTGTTCAGACTTGCTCTTGAAATGCCAGGGTCTTCAGCGGAGAGAGCTGCGCCCCTAATGTGCAGCGGGAACCAACGTGACAATTGATAAAAGAATGGAACAAACAGTACTTGGTCCTTGTGAGCTTAAAGCAGGGGTCTTCAAACTGGGCCCTTTTAGGACTTGTGGACTTCAACTCCCAGAATTCCTCAGCCAGCCATGCCTGGCTGAGGAATTCTGGGAGTTGAAGTCCACAAGTCCTAAAAGGGCCCAGTTTGAAGACCCCTGGCTTAAAGTCAAGTTTGCAATCTTGAGCCTGAGGCTAGATTGCCTTCGCTGGATTGCCGAACGAAGCCACAAGATTTACACAGGATACAACCCAAGCTGTGGTCCTAAGCAATGGATTCCAGACCTTAGTTTGTACCCAGCACTTAAATCACAGTTGGTGTTAACATAGTACAGTATGTGAGTAAAGAAAAGTGAGTCATACTGAAAACATCAAGTTTGCATCAAGCCTAATTAGCTGGATGTCATAACAAATACGTGATGTAGCTTGATTAGAAACACTGGCTATAAAATGAAGGTTTCTTGAAATGGGTGAGATTGAACACAAATGTACTTTGTGATTTTATCTTCTTTTAGCATGTGTCCTTTTAGCTGTTACGGTATCCTTATAGAGCCGGTTTCATCTACCGGTAGTGGTTAAGGCACCAGGCTGGAAAGTAGGAGACTGTGAGTTCAAGTCCCACCTTGCCATGAAAACCAGCTGGGTGACTGAGCCAGTCACTCTCTCTTAGCCCACCTCACAAGATTGCTGTGAGGAAAATAGGAGGAGGAAGATGTGCTGGATAGGTCAGTGGTGGCGAACCTATGGCACGGGTGCCAGAGGCGGCACTCAGAGCCCTCTCTGTGGGCCCGCGTGCCATCGCCCCAGTCCTAGGCCTTCAGCTGGGTTTTATAAAACCTTTTCACTTTAGGCCTCCGTGCAAAAAAAAAAAAGGTTCAATCAATCAGTCAATTTCAACTTCTCGCGGGGAAAAAAAAGATCTTGCAAAGTTGGAATTGATTCATTGAACTTTTTAGTCCCACCCCGTCTGCCGTTACCACCGCAGCCACGCCCAGCCAATGGGCCACGCCCAGCCAATGGGCCACACCCACCCAATGGGCCGCACCCACCCGGCACCCGACGATACATAAGTGGGTTTGGGGTTGCAGTTTGGGCACTCGGTCTCTAAAAGGTTCGCCATCACTGGTATATAATGTCCTGGAGTGCAAAGGTTTCATTTCGCTATTACTGCTGATGGGCCCACCCTCCATGGGATGTGCTCATGAGTGCCATCTGTGGCAGCAGATCCCCAAACAGCTGCCTCTCCAGCAGCTCTTCCAAATCAGCCCAAAACACCACAGGATTCCGAAGCCAGAGAGAACCGCAAGAAACCGTGACGAGGGGCAGACTCTGAAACGTCCTCTGTTGCCAAGCAACCACATCCAACACCTACACATTTTTGCCAGTTTCCCCTTGGCTGTGGACCTTCTAGTGCAGTGATGGCGAACCTTTTAGAGACCGAGTGCCCAAAAACTGGCCCCACCCCCTGCCCCAACCCCTGCCCTGCCCCCACTC